GAGTGACTAGTCTCGAGTCATTGGTGTGTGTGACATCAAGACAAGTACGTAGGTGCTCAATAGAGAATGAGTTCACTGAACACGATCAACGAAGAGTTCTCATATTCATGTCACATGAGAACTCATGGTTGGGATAATGCAAATTAGTCTTTTGACCTGAGGCATCATAGTTGTCTTGTGGTTAGGTCCTTAATCTTTGATTATGTCAAAGTCACTTCATCAGGAGGGTGTCCAAGGCATCGTTGGGGTTAAGCCACTTAGCCATGGAGGCAAGTGAATGCGCAACAAGGGATCTCTAACCTTCAAACTGTTTGAGGGAGAATACTTTATGATATGATTAAGAATCTTTGGCCAAAGTATGAATGAGATTTAGGAATGTGTTCCATATCACATTCAAGGTAATCATATAAGCACAAGACTCACATTGGATAGTAGACATGAATAAACTATCAAACCAAACAATGTGGTCAAGAGTATTGTATTAGAGAAAGACCGTATTGCATTTGTAATCCTAAAACTGAATAGGTTCTCCACCTCTTCTGATTAGCTTGGGTAACCATGACATGCTGCTAGGCGTCAACCATGGTTTGTGGAAGCCCTAAAAGTGTATTATCACTGACGGGAGAATTGAAAGTAAGTTTCAATTCACAATCGATTAGAAAGAGTTTTAATCGCCCACTGCCTCGCTAAAAGGAACCTAATGGATCGTTCACCGAGTAAGGTAGAGTTTGAAGAAACAACGGAGATGAGTAAGAATAATTAAATGGTTTAATTATTTATCTAAGGTTAGGATTAATTAATATGTTAATTAATCAAACGAATAAGTTCGTTAAAGACCTTGGGTTAGTTTTGGGCCGCAAGGCCCAATGGGATTTGAATGTCAAGCCCATTAACTCAAGTTGTATGACAACTTGAATAAACAAAGGGCTTGAAAGCCCAATAAACCCTATAGGCTTGCCATGTTAGAAGAATAGGGCTTTTGGTCCATTAGGTCACTTATTTGAAGAGACTATATAAAGGACTTTATAGCCTAAAATTTAAATATGGTAATTTTTGGGGAAAGGATGAGAACACAAGCTCTCCTTTCTCTCTAAAATTTAGGCCACCTTGGAGGGATCATCTAGCAATCAAACTCCTCCAAGGTCACTCATTTCTTCTTCATTATGCCTTGGTGATGAATCATTAGAGGTTCTCAATTTTGGGAACTTGGAGAAACCTTTTCATCCATCCAAATCCATGGATCTAAGATGCAAGGAATGAAGGCCCTCTCTTTGGGTGATTAGCCTTTGCTTATGCAAAGAGGAATCTACAAAGGTATTGATTTCTCAACTCACTTTGTTTTGAGTTGAGTCTTGGTTCACCTATCTACTAGGCTTTGAATTTCATGGGTAAATGTTTTGTTTTAAGTGCATACAAGCATGATTCCGCCTTTAATTGTTAATTGCATGCTATTGATGTTGCTTAAATGAACATGTTTTTCACAAATCTTCCTTCACCAATCACGTGGCAGTACGGGCCCGCCTCCTGGCTCTGATACCATGTAGAAATTTTCAGGTCGACGGGCCGAGGACCCACTCCAACAACACCGATACTGTCCCCACTTAACCACCTGCACAATCCTCAGGTGTGGGGTTTTATCACAAAAGACCTCGATGTTAGTTAGAGAGGGGTATTTCTATTTAAAGCACTCTTTTCTTCTCCCTCTGTCCGATGTGGGATTGGGGGTTCCAACAGAAAGCGGATTCGGGGAATTTTTCAAGGTACATATGATGACACGATAATATACAGTATGAAAAAATATAAGGTGCTTGATTAGGTTCATTTAGTTACTTCTCGAGAAACTTTATTTCATACTCTCATGGAAATGATTGGAAATAGTACTTCTATATTCTCAGGGACCACTAGGTAACGGGACAGAAATAGCGGTAAAAAAACTGCCAAAAAGCTCCAAACAAGGTGTAACAGAATTTAAGAATGAGGTAGCATCAGTTGCCATACTTGTCTATGAATACGTGCCTAAAAAAACTCTTGATCATTTTCTATTTGGTATATCTCTTGAATAGCACATTTTTTCTAAGTTTATTAATTGTCAATATAATTCTATGTAACTTATGACTTTAATGTGGTTCTCCTTGTGTATGGTGAATGCGGCTATAAGAACACAAACAATGTGAAAAATTGGATTGGTCATGCTAGATCCCACATCATTTAGAGGAGTGATCCTTATATGTATATTCTCATCCCTACCTAGCATAAGGCCTTTTGGGAGCTCACTAGCTTCGGGTTTCATGAGAACTCCGAAGTTAAGCGAGTAGCACTCCCATGATGGGTGACCCACTGAAAAGTTATCGTGTAAGTTCCCAGAAACAAAACCATGAGAGCGTGGTCGGGGTCCAAAACAGACAATATCGTGCTACAATGGTGGAGCGAGCCCAGGATGTGGTGGGCCCCAAGTTAAGATGTGACAATTTAGTATCAGAGCCAATCCCTGACCGGAAGTGTGCCGATAAGGAAATCGGGCCCCAAAAGGGGGGTGGATTGTAACATCCCACATCGCTTAGGGGAGTGGATCCTGTAAGCCTTATCTGTATATTCTCATCTCTACCTAGCACGAGGCTTTTTGGGAGCTCACTGGCTTCGGGTTCCGTAGGAACTCCGAAGTTAAGCGAGTTCGTGCGAGAGCAATCCCAGGATGGATGACCTACTAGGAAGTTCTCGTGTGAGTTCCCAGACAAAACCGTGAGGGCGTGGCAGGGGTCCAAAGCGGACAATATCGTGCTACGGCAAAGGCAGGGCCCGGGATGTGGTGGGGGCCCGGGCTGGGATGTGACAATTTGGTATCAGAGCCCAACCCTAGCTATGGTGTGCCGACAAGGACGTCGAGCCCCTAAGGGGGGTGGATTGTTAGATCCCACATCGCTTAGGGGAGTAATCCTTATATGTATATTCTCATCCCTACCTAGCACGAGCCATTTTGGGAGCTCACTGGCTTCGGGTTCCTTAGGAACTCCGAAGTTAAGCAAGTAGCGCGCGAGAGCACTCTCATGATTGGTGACCAACTAGGAAGTTCTCGTGTGAGTTCCCAGAAACAAAACCGTAAGGGCGTGGTCGGGGCCCAAAGCGGATAATATCGTGTTACGGTGGTGGAACGGGCCCGGGATGTGGTGGGTCCGGGATGTGGTGGGCCCCAGGTTGGGATGTGACAATTTGGTATCAGAGCCAATTCTTGGCCGAAAATGTACCGACGAGGACGTCAAGCCCCTAGGGGTGGTGGATTGTTACATCCCACATCGCCCATAGGAGTGGATCCTCTATGCCTTATATGTTCCCATCTCTACCTAGCATGAGGCCTTTTTGGAGCTCACTGGCTTCGGATTCTGTAGGAACTCCGAAGTTAAGCGAGTTCGCACGAGAGCAATCCCATGATGGGTGATCTACTGGAAGTTCTCGTGTGAGTTCCCAGAAACAAAACCGTGAGGGCGTGGTTGAGGTCTAAAGCGGACAATATCGTGCTACGGTGGAGTCAAGCCAGGGATGTGGTGAGGGCCTGAACATCCCACATCACCCAGAGGAGTGGATCCTGTAAGCCTTATATGTATATTCTCATCTTTACCTAGTAGGAGGCCTTTTGGGAGCTTACTAGCTTCGGGTTCCGTAGGAACTCTGAAGTTAAGTGAGTTCGTGCGAGAGCAATCCCAGGATGGGTGACCCACTTGGAAGTTCTCGTGTGAGTTCCTAGAAACAAAACCGTCGTGCGTGGCCGAGGCCCAAAGGGGACAATATTGTGCTACGGCAGAGTCCGGACCCGGGATGTAGTGAGGGCCTGGGCTGGGACATGACAATTTAGTATTAGAGCCTAACCCTGGCCGTGGTGTGCTGACAAGGACGTCGAGCCTCTAAGGGGGGGTGGTTTGTTAGATCCCACATCGCCCAAGGGAGTGATCCTTATATGTTTCTCACCCTTACCTAGCACGAGGCCTTTTGGGAGCTCACTGGCTTCGAATTCCATGGGAACTCCAAAGTTAAGCAAGTAGAATGCGAGAGCAGTCCCATGATAGGTAACCCACTGGGAAGTTCTCGTCTGAATTCCCATAAACAAAACCATGAAGGCATGGTTAGAGCTCAAAGCGGACAATATCGTGCTACAATGAAGTCGAGACTGCGATGTGATGGAAGCCCGAACCGAAACGTGACAGGTCAAGGCGTTGCGTGACAATTGATGGAATTGCTCAAGGAGTTCTATATCACCATGATGATTCCAAGGCTCATAATTATACCTTGTGATTTAAAAGCTAGTGGTGTTTAGAGTTGATGATCAAACTCACGGAAACAAAAGCAGAATTGTCGGCACTTAGTAAGTTTAATTAGCTTATAATTGTTAATATGAAATGTATGGTAATTTAATATTACTAATCAACTATAATGATATATGTGGTATTGTATCAAGCGGCTATATGGCTCCAAATCCGATGTCTTTAGGGTACTCTTGCTTGAGATACTAACAGGGAGAAGGAACCTCTTGGGCTTTCATATCACAAATTGTGCACCTACTCTGGTAGGATGCGTAAGTATTAATTAATTGTGTCAAAGAATTAACTGTACAACATTTTGATCCTCCAACTAATTATAAACCTTGCCATATATCAAATAGATTATATTTTTGAAAGGTATCAATTGCAGGCTTGTGAATTATGGAACGAAGGAAAGGGCTGGAGTTAATGGATCCATTGTTGAAAGACTCATGTAGTACCAACTCGAAAATACATTTGCGCGTTTCTGCAGGAACCATCTGTTTCAGACATAATCGAATGAATGAAACACATTTAAGTTCAATAAATTCAACACAAATATAAACTAACAGAGAGATACATGAGTGAACGAGGTCAATAAAATAAGCACTTGATGCTACCTTGTGCCAAAGAGTTTATGCTAGTTTGCCCTCTTATGTTTAAGGAGCAACTAAAAGAAAATAGTTCACGAACGTCACGCTTTTGCTGGCAGAGTTAGACTCATATCAGGATCACTACAGGTTTTGGGAAAGGATTGCCAAAAGAATGCATGCATAACTTCTACAATTACCTAAATGAATGCATGCATAACTTCTCCAGTAAATTTGTTCACTTGAGTCACAATCCCCTTACAAGGATTGTAAAACTCAAAGCTTACTGTCCAAAACCAAATAATTTGTACCATTTACATGCTTGTGCAACATATGCCTTGCACTGGAAAAACATAAAAAATCGAATACAAATTTGTAAATCATGGACGGATTTTGTTTTACATTTTTATAATCAAATCAAGTGGTAGCGTAGCACGTAAAATTATAAACTTGAAGCAACCAGAGAGCAGAAATTAAGATGTAGAGATATCCTCAAACTTGCAACATACTGTATGGAACCTAATTGTAGAGGTTTGTGAAGCAAACTGCAGCATGAGTTGCAGTCAATTGAAAAAAAAACATAGTAGTTTAACTAAAAAATGCATGATGAAATGGATTCATAGTTTTCATGCATGACACAACCCTATATTATTCCACAAGTCAACTTAATATCATTCCACAAAGTGAAATTATAATGCTTACTTGTCGCAGAAAGGCCAATGCCACAATGAAGGCATATGGCGAAACTTAGTAACTTGTAGCTCATTGCACTTTGTAGCCGATATGTTTTTGCCTCTCTGATGGCATCTGCTAACACAAAAAAGGCCACAAAGGGGATGCCAAGTCTACTTTGATTCTTATATCATGCGATAAATAGAACAGATAGATGATGTTCTCCATATCAATAGCATACCAAGAAATCTAAAGGACACCACACGGTAGCTTACTAATTCAAAAGATTAAATGAACTATAAATGGACCAACGGTTAATCGAACAAATTCAATACAACTGAATCACATTCTATATTGCCAAGAAAAGTGCCCATATTGCTGTGAATGTAAAAAAAATGATTCAGCACTATCCACTACTCATTTTGCTAAACGAAACGCCTAGAATCTATTCATTTCAAGTAAGTAAAAATCCAGAACAGGGAGATGGAGATATCGGATGTTGAGAAGTGATTAAATTGCCATCTCAACAATCGATTTAACCTATATACACCTACAGGTATCAAATTCGAAGATAAAAATAAAGTTTTTGATGAGATAACTGATTCCTGGTGTGAGTCATCACTTCTACTTTTTATGGCAATGATTACTTAAAGTTCTCATGCATACCAGCTCTCAATAGACTCAACAACACATGGAGGTAAGGACCAATCCAGTAATCTTAAGAAAAAGGGATCCCTGAACCCTCAAAACCCACATACATCTTTTGGCAAGATAAGTCATATTGCCAAAGCACAAAAGAAAAAATAATAATAACGTATTGACACATTTAAATAGAAATTCCGAACCTTTTGTACAATGCAAGAAGGTCTGGGAGTATTGAAAAAAAAATGTCTATTAAGAAGTATTCAATTTTTTCTTTACTATGCTCAATTATGTGGATGTGCATTGTACTGCTAAAATGATGACAATTATTTGTCAAATGCATGTGGATTTCTACCATTTTATCAGAAAACGTTAATATCAAAGGAAAGTAAGCTTGTATGGAATAACAATCATTTAAAATTAATGACCATATTAAGAACAGAAAAGTTTCAGCAAATAATTGAATGTAATACAATAGACATAGATGAGAGGATTGAGTAATAGGAATTCTATCATTCATTTGAAAAAGAAAACATGCGTTATAGTTGAAACAACTCTACCATTACTTGGAGCCTTAACTTCAAGTAATCCATTATCTCACCAAGCATGGCAGCTTTAACCGTCTGCACAAAACAGAAGCACATAGAATACAGATGATGAGTTTCTGCACAAAGCAACTAAAACGATGTAATACATAAGATCCAATGAAGTCAAATTTTGCTTGCTATATATGGATATGCATGCTATAAGAAACATCCATTTGTAGATTGTAATGTGTCATCACTATTATAGTTTCAAGTAATCAGTCTACTACATGGAGGAAAAACAAAGAAAAGGGAAGTAGAAAAGTGGAAGACATAATACTTGGGCATCTGGCAGGAATAGTAGGTTTCTGAAAAAATTGCTAAACCATCTTACAAATTCAATCGTTAAACGTTATACTGTAACCCAAGACAAAGATAAAATTATACAGTTTGTTTACAAATCAAAACAAAGTGCTGCTATAATCCGCAATCGCTATGAATCATAAGATAGTAAATGAGAGAGAGAGAATTCGAGAAGCACCTGCTAACATTACCAAAAAAAATTGAAAATGGTGGTTTTCATATGAAGATAAGGCACCTAATATGAAATCAGGGCACAAAAATTATAATTAAAAATTTTATGTACGGTAAAAACCTAATTCATTGATTAATTAAGACAAATGACTGAAAATGTCAACTTTTCAATTGTTATCAGTATTATATGGACTAAAAGAACAGGAGAAGTAAGATTTCATGTAGAAGATCGCTTGTATAAACTAAATCCAGTAAATCAGAGAAAAATGTAATACAACAGTACATGGCTGGAAAAGAGAGAGTACCAAATCCAGTCTACTGCTTAAGCATGACTCTATGTAAGATTCTTTTCCCTTCCGTTAAAGTTTGAACAGACCAACATATCACATTAAGGAAAACAAATCACCTTCTCAGCCTTGGCAGCAGCTTGTGCAGATTTTCCATACAATTCTTCTCTAACAGCAAGTTGACTCTTCAATTTCTTATCTTTCAAGCCCTGAAAAACGCAAAATCCAAGATGCAGTGACAAATAAACATGTATAAGTTTCATGAAAACTCAAAGTTTCTAGGCCATACCTCTAAATTTGCTTCTGCTCCTCTAAGAAACTTCTTCACTCTCTTATCTAACTCATCAAAAATCTTCTCCTGCAAATTAAGGTACTGCCCATTTTATTTTCTCATTCCCTTTTTAAGAAAATTATGCGCACATAAGAGCCTAAAGTTCGGCTCTCATGTTGGTGAGTTAAATAGTGCAATGTACAAAAGGTGAAAGCTTAATCCAGAGCTATCATAACTAAAATACCAAAATATCAAAACTTGAACATCTCCACCTAACAAAACATCTAAAAAACATATATTCAATGAGATTGAGTAGAATCATGACAGCAAGCAGATCTTGTGGGACTGCTACAAAAAATATAAACCAGTTGATTTCCGTAATAAAATATAATCAGTTGACTTTCAGGCGTACCTGTTCCATTGCAGGCACAGTGTCAATAGTGCTATCATCTTGTTTCACACCCATTTAGCTTACAACAGTTTCAAATCCTTCAAACGCAAAATGCCCTGAAACTTGATGAGTAATACAGTTCAATGACGACATTCAAATTTTATTTTTCCAAAGAAAAAAAAAAGATAAACTGGTCCACATAAATCTTTTAGCTTGAAAATTCACACCCACAAACCAACCCAATTCAAATGGTGAATTTGTTATAAATGAACACTACGATTTGAGGATCGATCACATACCAGCTTAACAGCCACCCCCTCCCCACTGTGTACATTTACACCTAACACCAGAAGAGCAATTTCTTTACAAAACACATTAAATTAACACAATGAATAATTTTCTAAGGAAAAAAAAGATATCAAGCACTGATTACCATACCTAAATAGAGTTCTCCGAAAGACCTACTCACAATCTTCCTCCCCAGCTTAAACTTCCCAGCAATCACATGCTCCATGATGCAACAATGTCCAATACGATTCGACCCAGAGACTCAAACTGGCTTTATTTCACAGCAATTTGTGCCAAATTCTTCCTTCCCAATCAAATCCAGCTGCACGGCATGCTCAACCAGCAAAAATATGCATATCCCCTTCTGATTCATCCACTCTGAAATCTGCAACCTATAACACATTATTACGAAAGCAGAGGAATTTCCAATTACTTATGATACAAACACATTAACCAACAAAAATCCTAATTCCCTCTTTCACTCACTTTCTTTAACTAAAATTTAATTACTTTGATGCTTCTTTCAATTTTCTTTCATTTTCTGAGCAACCAAACAGGGGATAACATAAATTGCAAGGTAAGAAAGAAAGATGGAAACCTGGAGGGCTTGGGAGAAGCGTTTCCGCTTTCGGAGGTCGTGAATGATGCACTGAAGCTACTCAAACTTTGTTGCCATTGTAGACGCAGTCGTCGAGCTCTGGAACCACATTCAAGCTAGGGTTTCCGAGCGGTCTGATTTTGTTGTAGAGGGTCGGCTACTTGGTCCTGCTCGTGTAGAAGGACCTGCTCGCCATCGCATTTCGGATTAGGATTCTGGCGAAGAGCTTCGGATCCATGATTTGGGGTTTAGGGTTTTAGGAGTTGGGGGAGCAGAACCAGAGAAATGAAAATGAAGAGGGGCTTTGGAGGAATGAGGAGAAGAAGAGAAGCGAGCTTCCCTCATGTCTTTCTTGGTAAAGATACTCATATCGTGCTTAATTAGCATCACACATCACGATATTAAAGTTCTAATCATGTTAGACCTATACCATGTAGCATATGCATTCAACTCAGGACCCTAACATTACAGACCAAATTAATTGATATTATCAAGAAGTTGAGACTTTACCAAAGCAGCAAGGCAGCGGTTGCAAAATTCACAGTTAAAAGCTTTCACTTTATTTTGATCTGCAAAACACTAAAAAGACATTCACGATCGAGGAAAGAAAACACATTTCATTAAAGAATGCACTTCAGCCATTATTAAATTGTCAACCGAGCGAAACATATAAAACTATACACATTTACACAGCCAAACTGTAAACTTTTTATCAGCAAAAAAAGACAGCAATTTACCTAACAATAAACATAAAATTACATATTCAAATTGATTCGACAGTTTTTAAAGATCAAAAAACTAAACCAACAGACAATTGTTTGAATATCAAACTCATTGTGTCATCTAAATTCACTTGTATACATTAGCTACCAACGCAATCACTCTGTTACCACATGTGCTAAACTATTAATAGCAGAGAAAAAAAAATTTACAAAATAAGTTACGATCTAAAATAAGAGCCTAATGATCAAACCATCCGATAAGAAACGATGAATCAAAGCAATTTTCTATCAAACAACTAAAGACCTTGGAAGATGCCCTTACTCACTTGGGGGAGTGGAGGGAGAGTAACCTATAGGAAGTTAGGAACTAAGACATTACTGGTTTTTCTTTTACATGTAGTTCCAAAGGAACAGACTCAGTAGAATCTTATACAACAGTCCTACAAATTATGTTGTGGGACATCTAATATATCAACATTTTCTAACACTTTCTTTCATGCGCAAGGCTGCCTTATTACATGAGCCAGCAAGCCAGCCTATTCCCCATGTCTTTACATGGATCATCCCAGAAGCATGTTCTTTTATTCACCTGCCCTCAATAAATAACAAACTCTTCCATCTTTTTACATAACACTCTCCTGCCTCACTCTTATACTTGCATATGTCATACACAATATGTGCATGCTCACAGCCAACAAAAAAAAGAAAGTGTCATGACAGTATGAACTGAAGAAAAATATAATAATTAGTGATAAAATTAGGGAAATTGGATGTTGTATGGACAATTATAAAAATCTTTTAATGAAATAGGAAAATCAACACTACCAATGTGAATTTTGACACGAAAAATATCTCATATGCCCTGTCTTAATCACAATTAAGGGAACATTAAGCATCTTAATTAGTTTACAAAATTAATAGCAAAAGTCACATTTCAACAGCAATTAATAGCAGAAATCAGAGTTTAGTGGTAGGGACCAAAAGAATCTCAGTAAAAATGAAACAATTCCAACCAAATAGAAAGAACTCAAGAAAATTCACCAAAACAAAATTAAAAAAACTGGAGAAACAATTTCAAACAAATCTTTAAAAAGCAACCGAACCCGTCACTCACTGTCTCTCTCCCCAATTCCCGCTTCTCCCTACATCTATCTCTTTCTATCGGCTTGCAATCATGTAAACTTGTACCATGGAAAATGTGAGACAATGAATCAAAGTAAAACATTTGGAAAGCATTAACGCTTCAATAATTCAAGGAACTTTGCTAAAATTCCGTGATACAATCATTAATCTGCCGATGCACCAAAAATATTGAATAGTTCTAATTCTCTAATGTGATGTCTGGAGGACGGACTTTAAAGTACAAAGGGATTTTAGATTCGGTTGTTAAAAATGTACAACAAAAACATTAGACTAAATCTATGAAGCTGCTATTAGAACACCACTACAAAAACACTAAACAAAGGTGTCTTGTACTGAAAGCTCTTTCAAATGTACTGGATCTAGTCCTTTCAAGCCTCTATCTAAATTTTCTGGTGTATTCCAAACATATTTTAGCATAAGTTTTATAGCACTTTAAAATTTAAATTCCCTGGTCCAAACACACCATAGAGAACTAAAGATATAGTCACGGACAAATTAGTATTGACATTAAAGAGCACTCAACTATTCATAAGATAAGTTTATGCAAACAATCAAATGCAAATAATTTTTTGGGGTGATTGATTGTGGCAAAGAGATCCTATACAGATGGCAGGAAATGCCACTGAAATAGGAATCCCAACCCAAATATCATCACAGAAGCAAAACCTCCTCCGTTTCAACTATGAAACGAAGATCACAAAAGAACATGGAAAGGACCTGAGCTTGTCCTTCCATGGGCATCGCCACGACCCTCTAATGAACTCGAATAAGTCACATCATGCAACATGTATTTACTCCATAGCCTATACAAGAAAATTCCACACATAATTAGTTCCCAAGGGGGCATACACAAATATACCAATATTTTTTTTTTTATATCAAACTCATATCCATTGTTTATGCTGGTGTAACTAGGAAACTGTTGATATAGGGTGAAACTAGTCTAGGTTCAAAACAAACAACCACCGTGTTTGAAAAATGGGTGTAAACTATTAACTTCTGACCTATTATCTTTTTACATTGCTATGTGCAGTTAAACATCTGCAAGAACGTTTTTTGTTGGTGGAAGCTATTGTAGAAGAGAATGGAAGTTCTTCCAAAGTCGGATTCTAGTTTTTAATCCTGTAATGATTTCGATCACTGGGCAAAACTGATTTTCTAATACATGATGGACTTGTTATTTCTCTCATGAATCATGTTTTCTAATTATTTTCTTCTAAAGTTTTTGGCTGATGATCCAAATTGCAACGACATTCAACCAGGGCCGACGCTGAGGGGGTGCAAGTGGTTCTACCGCACAGGGCCCCCATCTCAGAAGGGCCCCTAATTTTTCAATTTTGCATGCATATACGTATATATAGTAGTAAGTGTAAAATATTACAAACTTAAGTCTTAGGGCAAGTGGAATTATTGCTTCTTTACATCATCCTAGGGGAATGGTTCGAAACTCATCTCCATCATTTTTTCAGTTTATATTTTTATTAAATGCATAAGCTTCCACAAAATAATATAAAAATTCCACACAATAACATGAAAATTCGAACCCTGACCCTCTAAATAGTTAAGAAAAAAACAATACGTCACCTTTCCACTTGTTGATTTGTTAAATTTGTTTGTACTATTAGAATTTATAGAAACTCAATTGAAAACTAAAATTATTATTTTGAACAAAAAAATAAAAAAAATTAAATTCTTAGTACTTTTTAGGGCCCCCAATTCACTTTCGCACAGGGCCTCTGAAATCTCAGGGCCGGCTCTGCATTTAACCCTTGGGACTTATGTAGATTGGGGGCAAAAAAAAAAAAAATAGTCAATATACCATGGCTTGTCATTTTTCAACCCAATTCAAAGTAGCACATCTCTAATTCAACATATCCAATTCATATCAGCACATATCCAAATTCCAATTCAATAAACCGCATATCCAAATCAATTCAAACTAAATACCTAATATTCAATCACATATCCAATTCAAACAACATGGCTAATATTCAAGAACATGTCCAATCTTTAAGCATATTTACAAAACCGATTTAGAACACTATAAAATCCTCTTAGTAGCAGAACATAAACATCAACATCCAATAGAAAGACAAAGCACCATACCAATTCTCTATCTTGTATGCTGTTTTCAGGTGGATCTTCCTAACTCGTCCCAAAAAACCGTGCATATAGTTCACCTGCAAGCATCATCCCACAACCAAAAACTAGACAAAACCAAGGAATACATAAGGAACCAAGAAATGGGAAAAAAAAAAATCAACCAACAGAGGAATGAGAAGCAAACACGATAAAATTTTGAATAAGCACATAAATGAGCATAGTGAAACCCAAAAATTCGAATAATGGTTCTAACAAAGCAAACGGAAAACAAAACAATAAACAATTATTTTCAAACAGTGCATAACCTATTGAATCAGAAAACTAAAAACCCATACCCTGCCATACACCCCTCTGTCACTTTCTCCTCACTGACCTTGCGCACTAACCCATTAATTAACGCCAAAAAATGCACACAGCCATGCTTTCTCCTCTCTCTGTCTATCTCTATCTCCCTATCCATCTCTCTCTATAAAATCAGAAATCCCCCAAAACCGGACCTAATACTAAACAATTAGAAAATCTAAGGCACCGTTAAAGAATACAATTTACAAAAGAAACTTATCTTTGGATTTGAGGCATGTAGCGCAAGATCCAGCACATCCTACTTTCAGTAGGGTTTGTTGATGCCCCTACCCCGTCCCCCTGAAATCCCAACGACCTATGGTCTTCTTTGACCATACCGACTCTCCCATCTGCGGAAACAATGCCGAGACCCCTACCCCTCCCCCTTGCTCTCCTTCCATCACCATCTCTCTCTTTGTGTCTTTATGTCTCTCTCTCTCTCTCTCTTGCTCTCTCTCTCTCTCTCTCTCGCAGACCCTCCCCAAAACCCTAATTGAACGACAGCAAATGATACCTACCCGATGACCCCCTATCTCGCCCAAAACGGAGAGGACAAAATTACCCTTCGTAATAGACCATCCCCACCATCGGTTTGTAATCTTTGATGGGCAAAAATGTAATTAAATAATTTGGGCCTCACTGACGGCCGGGCTTCCCAGCCAAAACCAATACATTTGGGCCTGGCTGCTGACCCAAAACCAACAGAAAGATCAATGGCATGGTTGTAATTAATCTGAAATTCGGATTGAAACATTATTCATTTCTACAGTGCCAATTTCAAACCTTTCTTTGGACTAAAGTGATGAGTTCTTGAGATGCATCCATGTCGGATTATTGCGTGTTCGAGAGGATACAAACAAAAGACCAACTATGTTGTCGGTTGTTCTAATTTTAAAATGTGAAGCTACACAGTCTTCTCAAGCCTGATCGACCTGCATTCTTTACAGGAAGACCTCCAACTAATCACGACGTTGATCAAGTATGTGCTCTTAGTTGCTTTGCCAATTGGTTGCCCATGTCTGCTTTTGGGCCTTGATGAGATATGTTCATACCCTAAATTCGTCATGGGCCTTGCGGTATGGGCAGGAAATCCATATGAACATGAATTTGGAGATTCCAAGCATGCTACTACTAATTATCTAGTAGACGGGATTTGAGTGATAGAGATTGCGTTTAATTGACTTCTAATCAAGAGACTGTACCATTGAGTGAGAGAGGCACAACTTAGGTTCTTTATTTGCCTTGTATGATATAGTCTTTTCTCTTTTAAGCCCTTTATTTTGGATGATCTTATTAAACAATACTACTCAAAAAAATCAATACTCCACATTATGAACCATTTAAGGACCAATGCTTATAGATTTTCAGTTTAGGAACCAATACTCTAATTTTCTCATATCCCTGTAGAAGTTGTATTCGCAACCTTTTTTCATATGATCTAACTATACCTCAATTGGTGTAACTTTCTACTCAAAACCAGAATCTAGAAATTCATGTCATATATGCTGATAATTACTCAAAAATCTCAAGGGAAGCTCAATGACACTTCACAATCTCCAAACAGAGAAACCTAAGAAAAGGGCCATGCACAAGGCAAAAACAAAACAGTGCAGCAACAAAAACAAAGAGACCTTAAAAATGAATTAAACATTTCATACATATTTCTGCGTCATAAAAAAAATGAGCGCTATGATGTTGGAACTTTTGCTAATTTAGTATCATGAAATAACTTGGGAATTATTATTGGCACTCCAAAAATCACATTCTACACTCCAAACTTTTTATATTAGGAAAGAAAAATACACTTGTGATAAGTGTAGAATGAGATTTTTGGAGTGCCAATAACACTTCTCAATAACTTTTGTTTGATTTATTCAATTCAATTTGATGAGTATGTGTGGCATGTGTTCACTTTGTTTTTGTGGTCCCTTACATGTAATATTTTGAAACTTACTTTCTTAGCTAAGGATGATACAAAGATTGTTGAGTCCTTGCTATTCGACTTGGGAACTATTGAAACCGCCACAAACAAGTTTTCTGATGATAACAAGTCAGGTGAAGGCGGATTTGGTGTAGTTTTCAAGGTATGAAAGTAGAAAATGCGAGCATATATCTACCCTCATTTTGTCTTTGAAATTATTGATTCTTGATATACAGTGCTCAAGTCTTAGAATCTCGGGTTCAACTTGTACTATTCTAAACATATATAAGATGCATGCCAACTAAATTGATTGGATAAAATGCCTCACATGTCAGGGAACACTTGCTAATGAACAAGAAATTGCGGTGAAGAGGTTGTCAAAATGCACTAGACAAGGCGTCCAAGAATTTAAGAACGAGGATGCATTGGTAGCCAAACTTCAACATAGAAATCTTGTTAGGCTTCTGGGATTTTGTTTGGAAGGAGAGGAAACCCTACTTGTTTATGAATATGTGCCAAACAAAAGTCTTGATTGTTTTCTTTTTGGTAAGAGTACATCATTCTGAAAAAAAATTAGTAATTTCGAACTTGTATATATTTAATGAATTGAGGTGAGTATATATAATCCAGAAAACGTGAACAGTTAGATTGGTCAAGCCGTTGCATGATGATAGGAGGAATCACTCGAGGAAATTTTATATTTGCATGAAGATTCAAGGTTTAGAGTTACACATTGTGATCAAAAAGTGAGTAACATCCTGTTAGATGAAAATATGAATGAAAAAATATCAGATTTTGGTATGGCAAGAATGTTTGAGGTTGATGATCAAACTCAAGGAAACACCAAAAGAATTGTCGGCACCTAATAAGTTTCAACACACACACACACACTTTCCTCTATTTAGTTCATTATCTTACATATTCCAATTCTTATCTGTTTGTGCTTGCAATTCAGTGGTTACATGGCTCCAGAGTATGCTATGGAGGGATTGTATTTAGTACAATCTAATGTATATAGGTTTAGAGTACTTTTGCTTGAGATCACAACAAAGAGAAAGAACTTTTTAGGTTTCATCCGACAAATGGTGCACCGACCCTTATAAGTTATGTAAGGCCTTTTAGTTGAGTTAGCCTATAAAAAAAAACATCTCAAACAAATGATGTAGGTATATGGCAATTTATAAATCAATATATGATCACTACATTCTTAATTAGCATGAAATTGATAATTGCGGGCTTGGAAATTATGGAATGAAAGGGAAGTGTTGGAATTGATGGATCCGTTGTTGAAGGGCTCATGTCATGCAGTACAGATGAATTCCTGAGATACATTCATATCGGATTATTCCGGTTAAATGGAAGTTTCTCGCTGGAATATGAGCTTTCGGGAACAAAAAATAAAATTTTACATGTAATTTTCATTATTTTACAAATGTAGTTCATCGTATATTTAGCCACTAATTTTAATTCTCTCAATTTAATTAAATAAATTATATAATACATTTCACAAACATCTCTTTTTCTTACACTTTTTTTTTCTCATCGCTTTTTGTACATATATGTTTCAAGTTTGGCTTTTTTTTTGAATTTTAGCACACAATTGTTTAATAACGAAAAAACTTGGCTTATCTTGTGAAATTTTTCTTAAACTAATTGATACTATTTAACATACATTGGTAAGTTTCTTTGTTCCAAAGATTCAAATCTTTAGTAGAGAATAAATGAAAATATATGGGATGCAATATCCACACACTTATTTTTACTTCTTCCACATTTTTTTTGTTTTCGGCCGTTAGATTAGATGAATTGAAGAAGATCAACGGACATAAATTAACAAATGATGTGTGGATAGCATACCCCAAATATATTTATCCAAGATCAGCAGAACAAGTCTCATCAGCAACAATTTAACAGATTTTATGTAATTATATTATTGTTAAAAATTCATGTTTAATAGTATATTATATGGTACCCTCTTGGCAGTTAGTAGTTACGTCTCCATCGTACCGTACGTTCTAATAAATATACTTAATTCTTTCGAAATTTTATATTCGTCCCTGTTTTCATTTCTTCAACGAATTTGACTGAGATAGTGACATATCTAGTGGTATACTTTTGCACACGGAAAATTAAAGTTGTTTGACTTTATACTCTTTGGCAAAGACTCTCTGCCGTGACTTTTCAGATTGGAAAGTTTCAATTATTTTTTTCCTACACTGCAATTTTTATTTTTCACCTATATGAATTTGGCAAATAATATGTATGTTGTTTTCCTAGGCAAATGTTTACGGTTATAATATGGGGTCATTGGTTGCTTACAATTTCAATAGCTTTAAAATATTTATGTATATTTGACTTTGTATTTGTATTTGACCATTATAAACAGTTATGACAAACTAAATCATAAATTCCTCCTAATTTTGTTTTCTTTTATCATCCATCTCTTCTTGTATGCGACTCTATGATGCTAACCAAGTGTTCAATGAAATGCCTCAGTTGACAAGTCTTGACAATCTTCAATATTACTAGACAGTTTCCTACAACTGCCCTCGACAAGCCTCTATTGATCATAGTAATTGTTGACATACGTTCGCGTAAAATTTTGGCAAATGTTGGTAAGAATCGATAAGTGCCCATTAGGTGCTCAATGAAATAGTCCATTGAAGTTTTTTATTTTTTTTGTTAAAATTAAGATCTTATTATTTAAAAATTCTGACTCAACCACTGCAAACATATATATAATACAAACATCCAGAAATAACTTATCACATGATGGTGTAGGAGGGGAAACAACATAGTAGTGTAGTGGTCCCATTAAGTGGGGCTACATCTCTCAATTGGCCAAATATAACACTCAATGGGCCACGATGACATGAGAAAATAACTACAAAAAATGTCATTGTATTGATTTTTCAACTCAATAATGCATTCAACTCAATAATGCATTGTCCTATATTTTAAGTTTGACATGAGAAAATAACTACAAAAAATGTCATTGTATTGATTTTTCAACTCAATAATGCATTGTCCTATATTTTAAGTTTGGGTTAATCTCTGTTTACTACTCTCAAGTTTCATGGTTTTCAACATTTAGTACATGAAGTTTATTTCGTCCCAAAGTAATACCTAAAATGTTAATTTTGGGACAGTCTCATACATCAGTTATTCTGACTGTTAAGTCTTCTGTTAACTGATGATGTGACACCCATATGGTGACTGGACACCACATGTAATTAAGGGGTCCACGTGGAACTTAAAAAAAAAAAACTCAAAATTTCAAAATTCAAAACCACCTACCCATTCCTCCTCTGCAACATCAATTCTTCTTCCAATCCGCCAACCACACCACCACCATGTCCCAAAAATCCAAATCACGATGCAAAACCGCAAAACTCGAACAAAGCTCAGCACTTCTAGTCCAAAACCATACCCCTCGAAACCCTAACCTACATCGCCGTCAAGTACATCGGCACCGTAGCCTCCGTCTCCGCCTCCTATGCCGCCATGGCCAAGCGCACCAACACGAACATCTTTAACTTCGCCAACACCCTTCCCTTTGTCTTCCCTCACCCTCTCTAAATTTACCATTTCTCCCGTCTTCCATGAAACGCTCTCAGGCGTGAATCGTCACTACCAGAAGAGGGTTGAAGCGGAAGCTCGAACAAGACTTCAGAGATGAAATGATCGAGGGCAAACCGGACCGGAAAGTCCTAGTCGTCTTCGAATCGCAAGACGATCACCCAGATCTCATTGACAGGTTCGCGAGCAGGTCCGGATTGTGGAGTCCATATTCTCATCCGCGCAACCCGACCGCTCCTTTGCTCTCACCGCCAAAGAAGGTAGCGTGCTCGTTGTTGTCTTTTATTTTGGCCCGTGTTCTTGGAGTTAACTATTTGTTCATCTTTAATCTGAGCGAAATCTTGTGAGATTGTTTGGGGCTTAGGGTTTTTTTTGGTAATTTGTATGCAGAGGAGCTTGTGGACATTGTGGTGGATTGTGGAGCAGTTCCGGCGCTTGTTAAGCATCTACAGGCGCCTCTGCCGGCCATAGACGGCCAAAAAAGCCCGATCCTGTATGGGCATGAGGTCAAGAAGGGGGTGGAGGGCCGGGGAAGACGAAGGGGTTCTGGGTAGGAGACGGCTGTTTGTTTTTTTTCTTTTTAATTTTTAATTATTTTTTAATATTAAAGTGGGCCTATATTGACACGTGGCATCCAATAATTGTCCATATGGGCACTACGTCATCTGTTAACAGAAGTTCTAACGGAAAATTTAACAGGTGTATGAGACTATCTCAAAATTAAGACTTTAGGTATGACTCTGGGACGAAAAAAAACTTCATGTACTAAATATTCAAAATCACAAAATTTTAGAGTAGTAAACAGAGATTAACATTTTTAAGTTTTTAACTTTTTTAGGTAAATGAGATATTACTATTGTAAATCCCAATATATCGTACTCTTGAAGTTTAAAATACTTCTAACATCCTCGTGGGTAATAATCAATATTTTTTTTTCAGGACTTTTCTGTTCCTTGATGCTAGAACTAAATAATCCTCAGAAAAATCCCCACCAAGCTGAAATTTCCCATACATAACTGGCGTCACACTCTACCACTCCCGTCCCCATTGCATTTTTCTTTGCTTCAAACTACTACTATTTTTTTTTTTTTCTCTCTCGCGTTGTGTTCTTTTAGACTTTTTCTATCAATTTGACAATTAGCCACTGAGATAGCTTCAAGACCTACTCGCATTTAATATGACACAACAAACAATAAAGTTGGCAATTTAGGTGGGCTTAATCAAATTGGTTTATGTTTTCTTCGTTGCATCCTAAATGGATCTTCCTTTTATAATTTAAATTATCATTTATATGGCACGGATCCTCCCTGGAGCTAAGTTTTCTGTCTAGGAATCAGAACATCCGGGCTCTCAAAATTAGATCTAACAGCCAAAAAGAGGAGAAGTTAATAAAAAGTTTTAAAAAGTACAACAGCTTCTGATTTTTGGATCAAATTTTAAGAACTCAGATGCATTGATCTATAGGCTCTAGAGGCTTACTACGGAGAGGATCCGTGTCCTCACTTATAAAAATAGTAATTTAAACTTGTCAAGCGGAAGTGGTGATTACTTTTTAAATAATGTTAGGAACACTAAAATTTTAAATTAAATTTTCAAACAAAATAATATATCACTAATAAAAAATAAACATATTAATCAATTTAATTCAATTATCAACATCAACATCTTCCAACAGGATCACCCTTGCTTTTTGTAAATAAACAACAAAACAATTGATCAGCGGACAGAATAATGCAACTTATTAGAGGCTGATGGCACTGAAACTAAAACCCGGTTGTTTGAGTGGAACTCTTCTGGTCAACACTCAAAACTGAAAAGTCTTGCTACCACCCCTGCATTGCTCTTGTTAATGCTCAGTACAAAAACCTATGATGTTACGATGAATCACCAAAAAATGAAAAGCATGACTACCCTTCTTTTGATTTTTTCCATTTTTACGCTGCCCAGCTTTCTGACCAAAACGGAAGCAGATTATCTCTACCACATCTGCCCAAACACCACCACCTTCACCACAAACTCCACCTTCCAGTCCAACGTCAACCGCCTCCTCTCCACCCTCTCCTCCAACGCCAACCGCTCCACCGGCTTCTACAACGCCACAGTCCAAACCCCAAACAACGCCGTCTATGGCCTCTTCCTCTGCCGCGGCGACGTCGTGGGCACCGACGCTTGCGAAACCTGTGTCGCCACCGCAACCGCCCAGGCCCCAGAACTCTGCCCAGTAGAAAAACAGGCTGTGATCTGGTACGACGACTGCATGCTACGCTACTCCAACGAGTCATTCTTTTCCACCTCGGCCGAATCGCCTCGCGTGTCTATGTTGAACACGCAGAACATAACAACGGAACAGACAAGGTTCAACCAGATGGTTGAGGCGAGTTTGAACCAGGTGGCTACCGAGGCTGCCAACGACACGGACAAGTTCGCGACAAAACAAGCGAAATTCACTGATCAGATTACGCTGTACAGTCTCGGGCAGTGCACGCAGGACCTGTCCGCGGCTGCTTGCGACCAGTGCTTTAGGGGGGCCATAGGGCAATTGCCGATTTGTTGTAGCGGAAAGCAAGGGGGACGAATTCTGTTTCCGAGCTGTAATGTTAGGTATGAAATCTACCCTTTCTACGGCCAGAACGCCACAGCACCTGCGCCTGCACCAGGGGCCCCTCCTCCTCCTCCTCCTCCGCCTAAAGGTTAAGTGAACAAACATTTTAAAACTTTTTAGAAGCCCCAATCAAGTCATTTGTGGTATTATCAGATTACTTTATTGGGTAGTTTATTGGAACAGGGGAATATGGTGTTGTCCTGTGGCTGTTGATTTTACCAATTTCCCAATATTTTTTGTTTATTTTACAGGAAAAAGCAAAACCCCAACTAGTACGATTGTTGCCATTGCTGTACCAATATCTGTATCTGTGCTGCTTTTCGTTGTGGGTTACTGCTGCATAACTAGGAGAGCAAGAAAGAAGTACAATCTAGCAGCAGCAGCAGACCAACCAAGCGGTAAACAAATATATCCTTCTGCGATCCTCGTCTTGTTTATTCTGTTGATTCTCCCTTCATTTAGTCCTCGTGTATAAACATTGTGCTTCTATGGTTTGGTTGGTTGCGCAGGTGAGAATGACATTACTACTGTCGAGTCTTTGCAATTTCATTTTGCTACCATCCAAGCAGCTACGAGCAATTTCTCCGATGATCACAAGTTAGGCGAAGGTGGTTTCGGTCAAGTTTACAAGGTATGTTAATCAGCATATGACATGAGTGCTCCATCAGGTCTACAAAGTTCCAACTTTTATGCATGCAAACTCTGAGTAATTTTGGAGCCTCATAAGCCGTCCATGATTGCCATGAGTGGACATTCCATTGTTTGATTGAAGTTTTCTCGCAGGGTACACTTTCAAACGGTCAAGAAGTAGCTGTGAAGAGGCTATCAAGGAACTCCGGCCAAGGCATAGAAGAGTTTAAGAACGAGATGGTATTGGTAGCCAAGCTTCAACACCGAAATCTGGTTAGGCTATTGGGATTTTGCTTAGAAGGCGAAGAAAAGATTCTTGTTTATGAATATGTGCCCAACAAAAGCCTCGACTGTTTCCTATTTGGTTTGTACACTCAAACATCTGATAGTCTTTCCCTATTGCAATGGCAGTTCGTTGATGATAACTTGATTTTGATGATTTGCAGACCCTGAGAAACAGGGGCAATTGGATTGGTCAAGACGTTACAAGATTATTTTAGGAATTGCTCGAGGAATCATGTACCTACATGAAGATTCCCAACTTAGAATTATACATCGTGATCTCAAAGCCAGCAACATATTGTTAGATGGGGAGATGCATCCAAAAATATCTGATTTTGGCATGGCCAGGATATTTGGGGTTGATCAAACTCAAGCAAGCACAAACAGAATTGTCGGAACATAGTAAGTTACCTATTTCATTCTTTTCTCTAACCACTTTTGTTTTGCAATTATCGAATGGAATCTGAAATGTTTTCTCGTTACATCTTTGTTATAATTTCTATACTAATGGTTATGCTTCTTTTAGTGGTTATATGTCTCCTGAGTATGCAATGCACGGACATTTTTCTGTCAAGTCCGATTTGTATAGTTTCGGTGTTTTAGTGCTAGAAATCATCAGTGGCAAGAAGAACAGTTCCTTCTTTCAAACCGATGCAGCTGAGGACCTCATGAGCCATGTAAGCTTAAAATGAAAAGTGTAGTGTTTTGTTCTCTTGCATTGACATAGCATCATGAATTAAACTTTTGAATTTTATGTAGGCTTGGAAGTTATGGAGAGATGGGGCACCTTTGGAATTGTTGGATCCATGTCTGAGAAACTCTTATTCAAGGACTGAAGTAATTAGATGCATCCACATCGGCTTACTTTGTGTTCAGGAAGATCCAGCTGATAGGCCAACAATGCAATCGGTAGTTCTCATGCTCAATAGCTACTCTGTTACTCTGCCATTACCTCAACAACCGGCATTTTTCCTCCAAAGTAGAGCAATGGGAAACATGTTAGAGGCAACGCTGGACTCCGCTCAATCTATGAGTAAGTCATCTCCATCCGTTTACGAAGGATCTATCACTGAAGTATACCCTCGATAGTGTTGAGCGTTTTTTAGTTAAGTTTAATTAAGTTTTTTAATTAAATAATGCTGACTAGCTATGTAGAGACCTAGTCAAGCTCAAGTCCTAGTTTGTAGGAGTCGTGGTTGAGCATGTTCACCATGGTTAGGTTTGCTTCCGTTGCTTAAGGATGAGATCTCCACGAAATCAGCATGTGATCGTGTGAGTGAAGTTGTTATTTGTTTTCAGTCTTTCCCTTTAAAAACTGTAACCTTCCTTTGAAATTAACGAGAAGAACAGTTCAATATTTTATGTCAGTTTTCATTCTTAAGAGCATTGCTAAGGTTCTTGAGGAGATCTGGGTTTAATAAAACCAACAGATAGTGTAAATAGATAAGCTGTTACTGTTACGTATTGTAATATCTTCTTATATATACAATCATCTCTAGACAATAACAAAATTTACCGACATGGTATCAGCTGTCCTTAAAAAGATGTTTTGCACATACAAGTTTTAGGAGAAATTACTGTTTGTTTATATAATAATAAATCGCATAAAATTTTGCAGGTGCTCGGACTCTTCATATATGTTTATATTTATTTGTTAGAAAACATGAAACGTGAATTTCGTTTCCTATGATGATCAACCATTGTTAGGATAGAAAACATCAAAGATGTAAATGTAAACTGTATTTTGAATTTCTTCAATGTCTTGATTTTCCACATAACATGATTGACACGGTTTAGTGAGTCCCTTAGTCTATAATAACCGAATTAAACATTTTGGTACTCACCATTGTAACGATCATTTTCAAGCATCTTCCTCAAATTGTACGTACTACTTTTTTCATGTATCATTTACAACATATAGACGTACATGGAACAGAAAACGAAGATCATGTTATTTTATGCAAATTCATAATTATTTTAGTAGATTGTAAATTTATTATGCGACACAAAAATTTAAAGAGGTAGGTAATCAGGGAAGATTCAACTTAGACCAGGTAAACAGAGAAGATTCAACCCAGACCCACAAATGAGGAATATTTTCCAAGATTTTGAAGACTAA